ACATAGCAACAATTGATGTGAAATATTGTCTCATAATGAGTTCATTTGCTTTTTTCCTAAGGATTTTGAGCATGTAATCTGGAGAGACCAGTCCTTGGAAAAGGGTATCATGCTTGGGAAGGTGGAGGGTCAGAGAAGAAGAGGAAGAGACTCAACATGATGAATAGACACAGTGACTATAGTTGTTGTTGTTAAATGCCGTCGAGTCGTAGACAACTCATAGTGACCCTATGAACGAACAGCCTGAGCACTGTTTGTACATAGAGTTTCTGGAGGCAAGCCATTTCGGAAGTGGATGCCACTCCTGCTTCCAGGATTGATTTAGTCGGGAAGGTCCAGCCAACACTGTCCAGCATGGGTGCCCATTACCATGATTGGCACATCACTGTCACAGGCTTGAGCATCACAGCAACCATGAGTTACCTCTGTACAGCAACACACAGACCAGTGCTATACCACCTAGAAGAATGTTTGACAGGAAGACAATTTGAACCTGGCCGAGGGCCACAGATGAAAATCACCCACCTTTGCCTTGGTAGCACAGCTTCCTTTCCACTAGGCCAACGTAGCTCTCTCTTGGTCATCATCATTGTTATTGTTGTTTAATGCCATCGAGTCGTAGATGACTCATAGCGACCCTATGAACGAACAGCCTGAGCACTGTTCGTACATAGAGTTTCCGGAGGCAAGCCATTTCAGAAGTGGATGCCGCTCCTGCTTCCAGAGTGACTATAGAAATGAGTTAAAGCCAGTGGAGTGGACTTGGGGGAGAGCGATTACTTAACAATTAAAGAGTTGTTTGTTTTGTTTTGTTTTGTTTTGTTTTGTTTTGTATTCAAGAAGAGTGAATTGGGGGAGGAGGAAGAAAAGTGCAACAATGAATGACCGGAAACCCTAAGTCTCTGTCAACTTTCATTAAAATTAATTTTTTAAAAAAAGAAAGAAATTAGTTTAAGCACAGCAGAGGCTGTGAGGATGGCCCAGGCTCAGAGAGGTTTCATTCTCTTGTTCCTATGAGTCAGAATCTACTCAGAGGCACTTGATGACAGCCACCATCACTGGCTATTTGTGCATGGGTTGTTGTTTTGGGTTTGTTTTTGGAAAAAAATATCTTTTCAAGTCCTTAAGTGATTTTAAAGTGGATTTTTAAAATCTTTTTTTTATTACTTTATTGGTTTTGGTGATACTGTAAATGCACTTTTTCTCTTAATTTCAATTCTGGCTTGTTCATTGTGAGTGTTTAGAAATAAAATTGATTTTTTTATATTGTCTTCTCTTGTAAACTTGCTAAACTAGACATAAGTTCCAATTTTTTTTTCAATAATTCCTTAGGATTTTCTATATACAAGATTTTATTATCTGTGAATTGCTTTTGCTAGTTGCTATGGGAGCTCTGGAAACTGAGTGGTAAGGAGTTGCACTGCCAACCCAAAGGAACAGAGTTCAAATTCACCAGATGTTGCATGGGAGAAAGATGGGCAGTCTCTTCCTGTGTGATTTACAGCCTCTGAAAACCCACTAGAGCATCAGCTATAAGTCAGATCTGACTCAACGACCCACAGCAACAACAATGTAGAATTGATGATATCTTACAGTGACCCCCTGTGTAGAACTATTCCATAGTTTTCAAGACTGGGTGTGACCTTGCAGAGGCAGATCATAGGCTTATCTTCCAGGGGGCCCCAGGCTAGGTTCAAACCTCCCTGCCTTTCCACTAGTATTTGAGCATTTCACTGTTTACAACACTCAGACTCCTTTGTACATATGAGATTATTTCACCTCCTAATAGTGATAGTTTTACACCTTCCTTTCCAATCTAGATGCTATTTTGTTTTCTTACCTAATTATTCTGCCTAAGAAGCTCTGGTGGCCCTAGTGGGTAAGGAGTTGTGCTGCCAATACAAAGGCAGGCAGTTCAAATCCACCATCTGCTCCATGGGAGGAAAATGAACAGCCTCCTTCCTTGTTATTTATAGCTTGTTATTAAAGCTGCTGCAAGGTCAGTTGTGAATCGGGTTTGACTCAGCAGAACATAACAGTTATCCTGCCTAAAACCTTCAATGTACTCTATCCTAATAGAATAGAAGTGGAAGAGCAGAATGTTGTCTTCTGTTAATCCTTAAGGGAGAAGCATCCAGTCTTTTACCATCAAGTATGATAGTAACTCTTGGTTTTTTATAGATATCCTTTATCAGATTGAGATAGTTGCCTTCTATTTCCTAGTTTATTGTTTTTATCATGACAGGGTATAGGATTTTCTTAAATTCTTTTCCGTAATTATTGAGATGATCATGCAAGATTTTTATTCTTTTAGACTGCTTCTCTCCCTCCTGCAGGACAGTCAGTAAATTCTGATTAGTGACCTTTTAGTTAAAACAACAGTACAGAAATCCTACCAAAGCTCTCTGTATTCTATTAATGTGGTGTCTATTATGTTGATTGGTTTTCAGGCATTAAACCAACCTTACATTCCTTGAATAAATCCTATTTGATCATGATGGATAGGTCATTTTTCAATGTTACTAAGCTCGTTTTGCTAGTATTTTCTGAGGATAGTCATAAATGATATTAGTCTTTGCTAGATTCAACATACAGATAATATTGATCTTATAGAATTAATTGGGAAATATTCCTTCCTCCTTTCTTTTTTGGTAGAGGTTGTGAACATTTAATATTAATTAATTTTCCTTTAATAATTTTCCTTTAATTATCAGTAAACTTGTCTAGTCCTGGTATGTTCTTTGTGGGGAATTTTTAGATTACTACTTCGTTCTCTTTCATGTTATAAATACGTATGCAGTGTTAACACTTCTTTTTTCTCTTTAAGCCCTTGATGTTTACTCCTTCAGTCTTTGAAAACATATTTATTGAGCATTGAGTATATCCCAACTCTATTCTTGTAGAAGAAACAATGAATAAAACAAAAATTCTAGTTCTCTTAAACCTCAACGTTCTCATATTCTTTCCCTCTCACACTCTCCTTATATAAATGTTTATTTCATTCTGTTGAATGCAACTCCATGCCTTGTAAAAATATTGCTAGATGTGTTTGGTCAAGAAAGTAGGCGTTTAGGTTTCATGCATGTATTGTCACAGTGTGTAAAAACTCTTAGGTAGTTTTAAGATGATTGCATATCTAGGAAATAGAATGTGTTATTATAGTTGCCGCTTACATTGGTACTTACCCTTAGAATTCAACAAGACACAGCGTTACAAAGCAAACCACTGCCTCTGCTCATTATCCCCCTCAGGACCATCATTGCCCTCCACTCTATCTAATCATCAGTGGGAACATTATGCTCTCAACTCTGAGATGTGGAGTGGAGGCCTCATTTTAACAGCATGAATAATTTTAATAGCTGCTATGAAAGTTTCATGGTATATTTCTATTTCTTTAAAAAATAATGTCCCCTCTTCATCATACAGTGAGCCTTAAAGGTGTCACTGAACACATGCATTTGCATGTTATCATCTTCTAAGTGTAAGTCAGAAAAGTGAGCAGAGATAGTTGTTTCTTTAACTTGGGCTTTAAAAATTTTGTCTAATCCTATTTTTTAAAAAAAATTATACTGGTTTACTTACAAAGTTCATATACATTGTTTTTCCACACCAGATATATTTCTACTTTTCTATACCCACCCCTCCCTCCACCCATCAAATTTTGTGACCCTATGATTAACCGCCCCCCCATCCTCATCCCTCTGCTCCCCCTCCCTTGGATCTTTGTATTTGTTCTGTTACAGAGCAATGCATAAGATTGCAATTATTTATAAATATTTTTACCTGTATAATTCAATAGAACCAATTAAACTCTATTGAGTATAAAATAATTCAGTCAGTTATATAAATTAGAATTCTAGAAGCAGTAGAAATTGTATTCCTTTTTAGACAGTATTGGGAAGGAAGAGCCAACTTTCAAGAGGGAACAGAAAAAGACTGTTATAAAGACTACTAATTGCACAGTGAACCCAGCCCTGCCAATTAATTTTTCTCTTCTACTGAATAAAACTGTTTTCTTTGTGAGGGGGAGAAAACGGAGTGTTTGAGTTTCATGTGTCTGTTGGCCATCTGAATGTCTTCCTCTGTGAAATGGTGATTAACTTCATAAAATATAATACATAAAAAATATGTCTTTCTAGATGTGGCTGTTAACAGAAATGTTATTTTTTAAAAGAGAGAGAGAAAGAGAGACATTGGGATTCTAGATCTTCCACAAATGCGTTTTAACTCCATTGTTATAATACAAACAATAAAGTTCTTTTTTCTATTTGGGGGGGGAAGATTGTCTAAATTTCAAAAGTAGCTCTCAAGTTATAATTGCTATGTCCTTAAAAAAATCAGAGTTTAGAGTTGTGAGTGATTATTTGACACATCATCTGACTATTTATACTTTACAGGGATCTTATACATAGACCAGTTTAAGCAGTGCTAGAATCCATCTATTTGGTAAAATAAGAAAGCAGAGTTTATAAAGCTTTATTTAAATGTGTTGGTTAAAAAAACAAACAAATACTATGTACAAGACAGTATAATTTCAGACCAAGTTTGCAGTGCACCTGTCTAGAGACCCCATTGCCAGTTTCAATTCTGTTTATATTAATGCTCCCAAGTATTCCTTTCTCTTCAAAGGTTATCATTTCTATTCTGGCATAATAGGATAGCATGATAGAGTGTCATTCTTGAGTATTATTATGTGGAGAATCTGAATCCCTTTTTGAAAACAAAACCTATTGCTCAGAAGAGTCCCCTGTTACCCTGGCAGCGTGATGCTGAGATACTATTCACATTTGTTGCTCCTACCACATCTTGGATTCTTATTGTCACTATTTAGGTATTGGGTCTTTGGTTAATATCTTTTCCCTTTTGACTTAAGGCATTGACTCCTTTATTACCTTGACTACATTACTTATTTCTGCTTAAGTTTCAATTATGTAACAAGAATGAAAACTTGACCTAATTATTTTTCTTTTCTTTCCTTTCTTTTATTTTAAACAATGTAGGGCAATCTAGAGCAGCCATGATCCCTCCCAAGCATCCACGGCAGCCAAAGGCAGCTTCAGATGATGCCATTTCCTTTGGGGGTAAAATCGACCAAGAAGTACTAAATGCTTTCCAGCCCACCCCACCCCCACTGCCAAAGAAAATGATCATAAGAGCCAACACAGAGCCACTCTCCAAAGACTTCCAGAAGTCCCTAGAAAGTAGTCTTTATGTTGTGGCCAATCCTACTTATGATATCGACCCCAACTGGGATGCCAGCAGTGCTGGCTCTTCCATCAGCTATGAACTCAAGGGACTGGACATTGAGTCTGGTGACTCCTTGGAAAGGCCTTTGCGCAAGGAGAAACCTCCACCCCTGCCTGCAAACAGCATCTCCAGCTTCACTCTCAGTTTTAAGGACAGATTTTCCAACAGCATGGAGTCCCTGTCCAGCCGGCGTGGTCCCTCCTGCAGACAGGGCCGAAGCATCCAGAAACCACAGAGACAAGCACTTTATCGAGGACTTGAGAACCGGGAGGAAGTGGTGGGTAAAATCCGAAACCTTTATACAGATGCTTTGAAGAAATTGGCTATTAAATGCGAAGACCTCTTCATGGCTGGTCAAAAAGACCAACTCCGTTTTGGGGTGGACAGCTGGTCAGACTTCAGGCTAACGAGCGACAAACCATGTTGTGAGGCAGGTGATGCAGTTTACTACACAGCTTCATATGCAAAAGATCCCCTGAATAACTATGCAGTCAAGGTAAGAAAATATTTCAATCTGATTTTATTATTTTTTTTTTAAAAAAGAGAAAGCTTAATACAGCTTTATTAAGGGGGCTCCTGGGCGGGATTCCTTGTTCTGGAGAGAGAGACAGACCAGGGGAAAACCGCCAATCTGATTTTATTCTTAATCAATGCCCAGTCCATTGGGCTGAGTTTGCTCTTTGCTTTGCTTACCAAAAGGTTTTGAACATCTACTTTATACTAGATCTTGTAATAAGCAAGACCATTATTATCTAGAGGAGAAAATAGATATGTAAAAAGACAGAATTATAATACAGTTATGTTATTGTCTTATATCATCAAGTCACAACTGACCCAGAGCTGACTGTCCAGCAGGTTTTCAGTTTAATTGCTTGGGAGGAGATTGCCGGTCTGTCTTCTTTGGAGGACGAGGTAGATTTGAACTGCAATCTTTAGAATTACAGCACAGCTCCTTACCACTAGGCCACCAGAGCTCCCTATAAGACTGAGTACTGAGTTAGAGATAAGTAGCATTCTCTGGTAGCCTGGAAAGATTTAAGCTCAGAACCTAGAAGTCAGAGAAGTCTTCATAAACTAAGTAATTCATTCTTTTCAAAGGCTAGCTGTAAAACATGGTCTGCTGCATGCCTTCTGCTTTGTGGCTCTACCTTTATTATGTGCCACAGAAGAGCCCCTTATTTATCCCTACTATTTTTATCTACTGTGCTTCCTGGGGAAACATCTTAATAAAGAAAGATGGCTTTTACCTGTATGAGGCCCCAGGTTCGTTCCCTGGCATCTCCACCAAAAAAAAAAAAAGGAAAGATGGCTAATACTTGTTGATGTGCCAAGAACTTTACATATGTTATATAATGTAATCATTGCATCAGATTTTGAGATTATGATCTTTTTGTCCATGTGATAGAAGAAAATGAAGCAGAGTGGAGAGGTCATTGTCTTAGGATCAAACAAATACTAAGTAGTGGAACTGATTCTTAAGCTCAGTTCTCTCTACCTCCATGATCTGTCGTTAGTCTGTCTTGCTATTTTTGTTTTATTTTATATAAACTTCACAGAGATAAGAACTTTACTGAAGACTTAAGAATCAGGAGATAATCAGGTAATCTACTTCAGAAGTAAAAATTACATTCTCTGTGACAACATATTTGGATTCTAATTCTGACCCTACCACTTTGTAGTTTTGTCACAAGTTGCTTCTCTGAGTCTCGGTTTCCTCAGATGCTACCTATCTTACTTAGGGAGCAGGTTGGTTAAAGGGTAACATAATGTCAGTGTTCCAAACACTCTGTCCCTGGTATATATTCATTTTTATCACCATCCCTAATATGGAACATCTTGCTCTGGTAACCAAAGGGCTTCCAATCTCCAGCAGTTCAAATCCACCAGTGACTCCAAAAGAGAAATATGAGTGTCTTCCTGCTAAGATTTACAGCCCCGAGTCCCGATGGAGGGTCACTGATAGTCAGAATTGACTTACTGGCAGGAGTTGGGTGTTGGCTTAGCCTCTTCCCTAGGTTACTTTAAGAAAGTAACAACCCTTGAGCCTCAGTCTCCTCCTTCATATAACCCAGCTGCTTTATAGGTTGAAGTGAAGACCTAGTGAGGTAATGCATGTGAAAGAATTAGGGAAACACAAAAATTCTGTGCAGGTTAAAGCAGTGTTCAATCCTTCAGTGCCTTTTTTACTGATTCTATTCACTGGTTCAAAACTAATACATCTAAATGACTTTTCATGTTCATTTGGTTTAGAAAGACCAGATGATGTCTCAGTAAATTAATGAATAAGCTAAAAAAAAAAAAAAAAGATTGGCTTTGCTTGTCTGTCCAAGCAGAATGTTTGTTTGGGCCAGACCTTCAGCAAGCTTCCCTCTGCAGTTGCAGCACCTCCACCACTTGACTGTTTGGTGGCATCAACAAAGTGACCTCATACTCCAGCCTACACTTTTTCAATTAAACTGAGGGGTAAACTGCAGAGAGGGGATCCAGATTCTGAGTTAAAACATTACTATCGACTCTAAAAAGGCATTTTGAAATTGTGTATAGCACTCAAGAGCTGTTGTATCAATTGGGGTTACGGTGCGTCATCTGTCTTGGGACTTTTTTGCTGCTACACGATCACCAGTGCTGGGTGAGTGCCTATTTCAGAAAGGGGCCTTGAACTATCTGTTCTTTCAAAACAATTGAGAAGTAGGGCTTGACTAACTTTATGTATTATTGCTTTGCAATCTTGTCTCTTTCTCAAATCAATGGTCTGGTATTGATTTCTTTGCTTGTAATGATGCAAAAGCAATCTCAAAGAACAGGTGGCAAGTGATTATATACTGGGAGTTGTTGGCAGGTTTGGGAAAGGATGTTTTACACTAAATGCTGAATATAAATGTCTCTTTGAAGACCCTCTGGGCCTTTCCAGAAGTACCCAATTGATTGAACAACCTTAAAGGAATAGTTGGACTACCAGGGCATTTTGAACTCTACCTTTGCAGAGATAAGGAAAATAGATTAGCATTTGGTCCACACAAACTGCTATTTTTGCTGTTTCCTTAAACCCCTCCACATATTAATGGAATTTGGAGTAGGACCCAGTGGTATAGTAGGCTTAGTGCTAGGCTGTTGAACAGAAGTTAGCAGTTTGAAACCACCAGTGCTCTTTGGAAGAGAGATGGACAATCTGCTCTTGTTAGGTTTACACCCTCAAAACCCGATGGATGCCTGCCATGAGTTGGAATTGACTCCATGACAGTTTTTGGGTAGCAGGGGTGAAGGGAGCTTTTAAAGTGCTTGCTTGCTAACAGAAAGGTTGGCAGTCTGAAGCCACCAGCTTCTCTACCCCCTAAAGGGAAAGATGAGACAGTACACTTCTGTTAAGATTTACCATGTACTCAAACTTTATGAACTTTGTATGTTAACCAGTATAATTTAAAAAAAAAAAAGTTGTTGTTGCTGTGTACCATTGAGTTGGAACCGACCCATAGCCGACCCTCTGGCAGGTTTTCAGAAGCACTTAATCTCACGGGAGAAAATTGCCCATCCTTCTCCTGTGGAGCAGCTGGTGGCCTCAAACCAGTGGCTTTGGGATTGTAGCACAGCTTATTGCTGCTAGGCCACCAGTCTTAGAAACCCTATGGAACAGCACAGCTCCATACTATAGGATCATTTTGAGCTGAAATTGACCTCACTGATCTCACTCTGGTAACAGGTATAACTGAATCTGAAGATGTCAAAAGATCTAGAAAATGTTACAGAAGGAAATTGGTGTTACAGTTCAGCAAGCAAAAGCCCAAAGATCAAACTCAAACTCATTGCCAACTCATAGCTGACATCATTGCCCTCATAGCTGACATCATTGCCCGTCTGTTTTTCTCCTGAGGAACAGCTGGTACATTGGACCTGCCCATTTTTAGGCAGCAGTACAATTTCCTACAAACTGAGCCGCCAGGCCATGGTCACTGCAGTGATGAATCACTAAGATCTTTTCTTTGAATGTAAATTGTCTTTGCTATAAAATGGTCTCAACTTGGAACTTCTACTGGATTTGTGGACTTTATTTCATATTTTATCCATTTTATCATTCAGTGTGAAAAGCTTTATTATTATTGTTACTATTACTATTACTATTATTATTAATAGTCTGCATCACAATACAGAACAAGTATTGTGTTTTGATTTGGAGATTTGCAGTCCAGTAACATGGGTCCAAGTTCTAAGTCTATAGTTGTTCCTGTGGCCTCTCATCCCTAATAACTCTTCAAATAATTTTTTCACTTGTGTAAAGCTTTTCTAGGCTTTTTAATAATAGCAGTATCACGCAATATTTGTCCTTTTGTGACTGACTTATTTCATGCAGTATAATGTCCAGGTTCATTCATGTTATAAGGTTGTTTCATTAATCCTTCATTATTATTTTGTATTGTATAGTATTCCATTGTGGTATATACCATAGGGAGCTCTGGTAATCTAGTCCATAGGTCTAGGTTTGGGTTGCACTAACTCAAAGGTGGCACTTCTCCAGTGGTTTGAACCCATCAGCAGCTTCACTGGAGAGAGACGGGCAGTGTCCTTCTGTGAGATTTATAGCTTCCAAAAACCTGCTGTGAGTCAGGTCTGATGGCAGTGAGTTGAATATATACCATAGTTTATTTATCCATGTTTATTCCTTCATCCAGTCATAGATACGTAGGATGTTTCTTTTTGTTATTGTGAGGGAAACTTCGTTGAACCTGGGTGTGCACCTGTTCATGTCACAACTCTTGTTTCTCTAGGATAAATCTAGATTCATATGACATTTCTGTTTCCAACTTGTTAAGGAATCATCTTACCATTATACACATCAGTGTGAAAGAGTTCAAACTTCTTTGCATCTTCCTTCATCATTTGTTGTTTTCTGCTTTGTTTTTGTTGTTCTAACTTTGCTGTTGTGCTGAGTCATTCTGTAAAGTTTGTGACTTACCTTTTGATTTTCGTATCATTGAATATTAATTTACCTACTTTATAAGACTGTTACAGTTCACATGTATTTATGAGGTGTAACTGTGTTATAAACTGTACAGTATATATAAAATTATAAAGCAAATCATTGTTGTTATAAACAATAATGGAAAACTACTACTCAACACTCTGTATGTCACTCTCTATTTTTATTCTCTAATATAAGGCCCCAACCTGAGCATTTAGAGCCATTCTGCACTTAGATATTTTCTTCCTCATTACTTCAAAGACATAAACATCTTCTTTAAAAAAAAATGAAGAAAAGCTATAAAATGCAAACAGCCTCAAAATTTAAGTACTGTCAAAAATTAGAAAGAACCTAACTGCCTGATATTAAGGAAACAATTTAACAAATTATAGTACATCAGCCCAATGGAATGTTTTACAGCCATTAACAATGATAATTACAAAGATTATGGAAAACATACTTTTTGTAAAATATCCCAGGAAAGTAAGCAGAGTACCAAATAGCATGATCATAACTTTTTTATAATAAATGGCCTACAAAAT